GAGGAAATTTGAAAGAGCATTGCAACAGTTTGGAACCGAAAGTGCATTCCATTCTTATTGTCAGGATTCCAGCAATCGCTCTAATTAAATCATGATTCTCGAGCCAAACTTCAAAAAAATTCAAAGGATTTATTAGAAGCGACATACTGGCATTGTCCTATATGAAGCCAACTCTGGCATACGTCATTTACAGTCCCCTGTGACCCTGTTTCCCCCCTCCCCAATGGGTGCCTCATAAACCAGATTCTCCAATTGAGCACCTTCACAGGCTGGGAGTCATCAATCATGTTCTCCAATTAAATATATTCGCGGGCAAAAGATCTGATATTTTAGTTGCAATCTTTTAAAGATAAGAGTTGGAATGTACTTTTGCTTTCAAACTGCTGCACTGCTCTTCCAGATTTCCTTCCTCCCACCCCCCTTTTTTATGACAACTACTAAAACAGGTATAGGAATGTTTTATGAGTTGAAACTTACCTTGCAAAGATTGTAGCTAAGTGACTGGAGTTTCTGCCGCGCAAATATCTAATTGGAGAACGTGATTGATGACTCTTGGCTATGAATGTGTTTCATTGGAGAATATGAATTACGATGCACCCAAAAGGGTGGGAGGAAACCAGGGTCAAGGGTGACAGTGAATTACATGTCTCAGAATCGGCTTCAAACAAATCGTGCCCACATGTTCGCTCCTAATAAATTTTTCATAGTTTTTGAAGCTTGGCTCGAGGCTCATGATTTAATTAGGGCAACTGCCGGAATCCTGACACAGCCACTCCCAAACCCCTCCTATTTATTTCCCAGCCAAGGAGGGGCTGGCCAGTATCCACATCTGCCTGTCCCCGAGAGCCAGCTTATAGCTTTCCTTTGCTCTCCTCTCCTTTATGCGCATATGCACATCTGGGATTGGTCCCGTCTGTTCCTCACTCAGTTTTCTGAGTTTTCGGACTTCTGCTGGAGCCCATCCTCAGATAACTTCTCTCTCTTCTTCTCCTTCTACTGTCACATTCCAGTAGAAAGAACTTCTCTGAGAATGGGCTCCAGCACCAGTCCGAAAGCTCGGAAGACTAAATTTCTGAACCCAGTGACCATCCCAGACTGAATAAAGGAAATTACTTAGAAGAGTTTCACCGTGTCTTTCTTCATTTTAAAAACCTGATAATGGAATGCCTTTGCTTGAAAGATTTTAGTTCCCCAGATGTATTTTCTAATCTCCTCCCTGAGTGTTAAACTTGTTTTTTGGTGCCAGCTTAAGCCTTACTTTGGAATGATGGAAGCATTCCATCCATGGTCAAGCAACCTATTTTGAAACTGGGATACTCGAAAACAAAACAATGAGGTTTTCACAAAATCATGACCGTGCGTTCGATTTTCCAGCTCAGAGAATGTAAGCTTTCACTCCTCCCAAGTCTCTCTTGTCTACTCTTTGAATGCAAATGTTGCTCCTGTGTTTCCAGGGTTGGGAAGAACAGTTGTATTACCAACATTAATGTGGACTTCAGTTCCACTGAGTGCCGCTTTGCCTGGTAGGAGGGCAGAGTCCACATGTTTTAAAAACAAGAAGGGGCGCCGGGATGAATGACATTATCTTAATTGCAAAATTGGCTTCTTCTTTTTTTTAGCAGTGAAATAATTAATCAGCTTGAGGATTGCTAGCATTTTGATTCTTTTGTGTCAGTGCAATGATCCTGCTCTGGGCGAGAAGAAATAGGGCAACTGTGTTCCATTATCAACCTGCCTTGGACTAGAAGATCTTCAAAGGTCCCTTTCAGCCCTATGTATGATTTTATAATGCAAGTGAAGAGGGAGACCCAGTGCTAGTAATGCAATTAACAATTCTGGAGAGGAACCACTGGCTGTGGGGGAGAGGAAGCCCAGACAGGGGAAGTTAAAAAAACATTCCAGCTGAAGAAGCTTCTTGAATGAGAAGTGAAACATCTTCAAAGAAAAAAACAGGAAAGTCCAATTACCTCCTGAAAAAAGTATCTTTGGGACAACGAACACCCTTTGAATGGTGTGGGAGTAGGAATGGATTTCCAGAGGGGGAAAATGAAGACTACAGGAACCATTAGCATTACTCAGGTGATCCTGAGGACACAGATAAACCTCCAAGGGGCCTCAAGGACCCTCTACAAGGATGCAAATGACCAGCTGTCTGCAAGGAGTATAAATCCTTCCATTCCTCACTATCCTGTCAGAGCTGAAGAAGCTTCTTGGATGAGAAGCGAAACATCTTTTAAAAGAAACATCAAGAAAGTCCAGTTGCCTCCTGAAAAAAGCACCTTTGGGACAACCAGGACCTGGAGGACTGAGAATCTCTACAGAATATCAGCTTTGAGGGGAGCAAAACTATTTGAGTTTTGCTAATATATAGATCAAACCCTTAGATCTATATTTGCTGCAGGCAGACAGTCTGGTGAGATTCTTGTAAGCACGTGATCAACAACAAAGAAACCTATATAGAAATAGAGGCTTTTCAAGGCCAGATGGGTTGGCAAATACATTTAATAAATAAGAAGAAGAATAACCTGTCTGACCCATTCTTGGAATGTTCTGGCTGCTTGTGCCTGACAAATTCAGAGTGAATCTTAACATGACGGGGAAGAATTAACCCCTTGATGCCAATTGGAGTTCTCCATTTTTGGTGATTTTACAATGTTGTTTTAGTTTTATTTTTATTTTAAAAAATAATAATCTGAAATTATTCTGCTTTCAATGCTTAATTTTATTGATTAAGTTGTACATCCCTGGACATGTATTGTACATGTCTGGAATCCGCACTGTATATCAGACATTAATACAATTGAGCGAGTCCAGAAGTACTTTACAAGAAGAGTACTACACTCTGCAACAAAATATTCTACACCACCCAGACTTGAGATTCTAGGCTTAGACATCCTTGAACAACGCTGGCTAAGATTAGACTTAAGCATAGTACATAAAATTATATGTTACAACATCTTACCAGTTAATGAATATTTCAGCTTTAACCACAAGAGCACCCAACAGATATAAACTAAAGGTAAACCACTCCAAACTCGATTGCAGGAAGTATGATTTCAGCAACAGAGTGGTCAATGTCTGGAACTCACTACCTGACTCTGTTGTCACCTGCTCAAACCCCCACTCCTTTCCCCTCAAACTAACCTCTATTGACCTCACCCCATTCCTAAGAAGTCTGTAAGGGGCGTGCATAAGCGCACAATCGTGCCTACCGTCCCTGTCCTATTGTCCCCAATTATTAGTGCCTATTTCATGTATTTATACTTACGTTTATTCTTATTTCTATTATATTGTAAGTGCTTGACAAATTAAATAAATAAATAAATAAATAAACCCAGAGCGCCTCTCTGAGCAAGATGGGTGATTAACAAGCAAACATCAACTATGATACTTATCTAAACTTTCTGTTCGTATCAGTCTAAATCAGAGGTTTCGAATGAAATACAATCTTTTTAGCACATCTGTGTTCTCATCGCTTACAGCCTAAAAGGATTTTGACTCAACATGATATTGCATTTCTGGATGGCAGTGTAATGCTGCCAATGTAATGTTTTCTGCTGTGATTGTCACTGCGTTTTTTTTCAGCTTGGAATGTATGAGGTTCCAAAACAGCAGGGTTGCGCGTGTAGCCCTCAACATCCAAAGTTGGATGTAATAATAAATCACACAGCACAATAATTTTGTTTGGAGCTTACCATGGGTCCTGTATCTGCCCATTTCTGGGTTATTGTTCCAGGGAGACCAAACTATTGTGGCATGTTTTAAGGATGGTTTGAAAAATCCCTGGCTCACCATTTATGTGGGAATGCAACCAAGGGCTAAATGAAGTTATGAAGATATTTCCCAATGCTACAAATATTTAAAGAGTGGAACGGAGAGATAAAGAATTCTCTTCCTTGGACCTGCTGAAGTGGGCTAGGCAACTGGATTAGAAGGTTGTATTCAATGGTGACAATGGCTTTTTTCAACTTTGACTGCATAAAGTAGTATTTCTCTTTATATATGTGTGTGTGTGTGTGTGTGTGTGTGTATGTAAATATAAATATAAATATAAATATAAATATAAATAATATAATATAATATATGTATAATTGATACACTTTTCTTTAATAAACATAAAAAACTCAATAACTATAGGAACAGCATGTTGTCTGAGTGCAATTAGTTTTGAACAACAAAAAGACAATAAGTATAATAGTAATCATAATATACATATCATTAATAATAATCACATGGTAATAGTAGCATTAGCTTATCCCATACTAGCAAGCTTTCATTATATAATTAATCATTCTCTTAATCTTTTGGGTTTCTAACCTCTGTTTCTGTTGGTTAGCCATTGGTAAAACAGGTCCCATGTTAAAAAGTATTCTGTTTCGTCCTTGTCCTCATAAAGTAGTATTTTATCAATCTTGGCAACATTAACATAACATAACATTTTATCAAACTTGGCAACATTGCTGGGGAATTCTGGGAGTTGAAGTCCACATATCTTAAAGTTGAGAAACACTACTATAAAGTATCAAACACCACTACTATTCAATTTTTATAGCCTGGTAGCTATACATTCTTGGAAGAAAATATTAGAGTATTTAATGCTTTTGTCAATCATAACAATATTGATGGTTGAAGATCGCCTTACTTTTTCATCCTCAGTCATAATGACATTTTGCATTTATGCCTATGAAGCTTCTCCAGGCAAAACGTAGTCACTGAACTGGTAGTAACACCGGCTGAATCCCACCCCTGGAACAGCGTGTGATTGTTCCTGTCTCAGGAAGCCTCGGTCAGAACATTTGGGTTTTAGTTTGGGTGGGTAAAACCTCAGGTCTTTCAGAGTGGGGTTTTCACCAGCTGTGCCAATATGACATTCCTAAAATATAAATAAATCATGCTTTGAGGAAACTCCAGGCCTTAAGAGTTTTGCTTGCGTTGGTTTTGTTACCTGGAACTCTCCTCCATGTTCTTCGCCTTGACTAGCCATTGCAGATTTGCATATTCAACACTGTTCTCTCCCTATTTTTCAGGTGATGGTGGATACGCTAAAGACGCAAAGCTGAAAGCCCCCTCTTCCCTGGCTGTGTCTCCTGACGGCACCTTATACATCGCTGACCTCGGGAACATCCGCATTCGTGCGGTTAGCCAAAATAAGCCTCATCTCAACGATGCCAATATTTATGAGATCGCCTCTCCGGCTGATCAGGAGCTGTATCAATTCACCAACAACGGGACTCACCTGCACACCCTCAACCTGATTACGAGAGACTTTCTGTATAACTTCACGTACAACGGGGAAGGTGAACTCGGCACGGTTACCAGCAACAATGGCCACTCGGTACATATTCGCAGGGATGCCAGTGGCTTACCGCTCTGGATGGTGATGCCAGGAGGGCAGGTCTACTGGTTGACCATCAGTAGCAACGGCATTCTCAAAAGAGTCTATGCTCAGGGCTACAATTTAGCCCTAATGACCTACCCTGGCACCACTGGACTTCTCGCCACCAAAAGCAACGAGTATGAATGGACAACAGTTTATGAGTAAGTGACCCTAAGTGTTTTTACCGAACCTTGAAAAAAAAAAGCACTGCTTAGCTTATAGAATGATTTTGCCTTCATTCCACCACCAAAAATCCATCTTGCCCATAATACAGGTAGTCCTCGGTGTACGACACCAATTGAGCCCCCGAATTTCTGTTGCTAAGGGAGGCAGGTGTTAAGTGAGTTCAGCCCTATTTTATCACCTTTCTTGTCACAATTGCTGAGTGAATCATTGTAGGTGTTAGGTTAGTAACACGGTTGGTGAGGTGTATCATTGCAATTGTTCTGTTAGTGACACAGTTCTTAAGTGGATCTGGTTTCCCTACTGGCTTGGATTATCAGAAGGTCACAAAAATGACCCCAGGACAAAACACAGCAACGGTCATAAGTATAAACCCGTTGCCGAGCCTCTGAAATTTGATCATGTGACCGTGGGGAATGCTGCGGTGGTCATAAGTGGGAAAAACATAAATGACTTTTTTCACTGCCGTTGTAACTTCGAATGGCCACTAAATGAATTGTTGTAAGCCAAGGACCACCTGTACTTCCCGATTGGCAAGGTGTGCGATATCGTGTATTCATGTATTCATTCAGAAATCTTAAAACACCTTGACTGAGTTTCCACACCACATTCAACCTTGCAAAAAGTCCGTGCAAAAAGTTGATTTGATCGGGATTAGGCATGCCTGCACACCCCTAATCAAAAAACTCAGTTTTATGTCAGATATTTAATGCAATAAGTTACTTGTTCATTTATTTATAAGATCTATATGGCCCCCTATCAGCTCTATATCAGTACCAGGGAATGCTGTTGTTATTTATTTATGTATGCATTTATTTATTTATAAGATTTATATAGATCCCCCTTTTATACAATGTCATCCTAGATAGTTCACGACAAACACAAATAATATAAGAGTCTAAAAAGACCCCTTTTTATCAAAAAGTCTGTCAAAACCAATTTTGCTGAGTGCTTACACCCATCATATTCTTCCCATGGACGGAAGCGGTAGGATCAAGGTATAATAGCAAAATCAATGGGAAGGATCAGTTTGGTTACAAAATAGCAGATTCAATTATCACTTCTGCTTTACTTTTTATTTATTTTAAAATCTTTCCCTCAAGGTGCAAGATTACAAGGAATGATTGTTCAGTTTCTTTTTCTTTCTTTCTTTCTTTCTTTCTTTCTTTCTTTCTTTCTTTCTTT